CTCCGCCAGCTCTGCTGCAGCACCCAAGGTGGTGGAGGCCTGGAAACCAAAACTGGAAACCAAGCCTCTGGGCCTTTGGCAGGTGGGAGAAGCGCCCTCCTCCCCCTCCCCACAGATTCCTTGGAGAGGCCTAGAGGGCTCAGCCAGCAGACACTGAGCATGCCAAGGGAGGAGGACACTGCAGAAGTCCACTAGGCAGGGAAGACCATTTGTGGGAGACAGACCAGCAGGGCAAGAATGGTCGAGGGAATGCAATGATTATGGATGATGATGATACAGAAACATCTACCCTATAGGTACAGCCCTTCTCTCTCCAACAGCAGGGCTGGGGAAAGAACAAACATCAAATTTTCAGAGAAAACAATGATCAGGCAGACCTAGGGATGAGCAGAGCCCAGACCTCCCAGGGACTGTGGCTGCACAGGCGATGGGCAATGTAGCAATCTGCAAACAGCTAAACACTGCAGAAGTGGTGGCCCCTAAGAGGGTTCAGCCAGGTGCTCTCTGCCAGGTAAGGAAGGTGACAGCCTCACAAAACATAACCAAGAGCTACAGCAGTGCTGAGAATTCCTCAAGATGACCAGGTTATTTTGGTTTCATCACTCTATCAAAACCACAGAAGAAAAAGAGGGCAACATAGAGGCTGAGAGGGTAAAAGAGGGGTGTTACAGGACAGAAGGCATCGACGCTAGTGACTACCGCGCTGGTCTGAATGTCCCTCCAAAACTCTCGGGTGGAAACCCCAATGCCCAAGAGGTAATCCACCAACCCTGCCTCTGGTAGGGAGCAGTCTGGGTTGATTTTGGTAGTAAAAGGAGAACAAGGGGACAGAGACCCTAATCTAGGGCACAGCAAAGCAATGGCCTCTTGAGTGTGAGGATTTTGTAATAGCCCCTAATTGATAGATTTTATTCAACCCTGCAAAGGCACACATGAGACCTTACAGTTTAGGGAAAGGGAAATGAGCAGAGAGTGAGGGTACAGGTTCCCCGAGTGCCCTTAAAGCTCCCCAAGAGCAGACCATGGACAGACAGGTAGACAGAGTCTCCCGTGTTAGCTACTAACAAATTCAGGAAGCTGCCGACAGCACAGGCTCTCTGGCTCTTCCCTACCCCTGACACGAACCTCACGAGCTCCTGTCTCTGTTGCTGCCACTGCCACCACACTGACAATGACAGTGCACATCTGCTCTATGGACGCGTTTGGGGGCACAAAGAAGCAACTTCTCCTGACCATTTCTTAATTCCATCCAACACCTTTTCTAATGAGATTCTCTCTAGAATGCCCTAAGTGTGCCCCAGTCACTTAAACCATTCCCGTGGCCTTTGGACTTAGGTTTGTACAAGAAGTCCTCAGAACAATCAATGGCAAAAGGAAGGACAAAGCAACATAAGTCTCTCGAGGGTTCAACATGCTCCGACTTGAGCTGCTATTACCGATGTACAAGCTGCTGAGAGCACAGTGAGTCATTACTCATCGGGATGGCGGTGCATAACATAAAAGTAATCAACCAATGGCACAAGATAAAAGGACAGTGAACGTAGGGGACATTTTGAATGATTTCCTATACCCCTTTCCAAAACAAACAACAAGGTAAAATAGTTGCAAAAATCACTTCCAGGTGATTTCTGTAACAGAAAGGAAACCCAATCTGAATATGAAATCAGGAGAACTCAAAAGATAGCTTATATATTGATTTCTTTCTCATATACTAGATACAAATAAAATTGAAGAACAATAATTAACTAGCCACATTCCCTCTCTTGAACAGGCAAATACTTGCAGTGCCTAGAAGGTTTCAGGCAGGTGCTCAAACAGAAGGAAGGATGATGACTTCACAGAGTGAGTGCTCTCCGGGCTAAGGGCGTGGCAAGAAAATCAATAGAACAGAGGCGGACAGACAACGAAGGAGGAAGCCCAGGACACAGATCTCTTCGTCATCTCGCTTCCTGAGCAGTGGCATGAAGTAGGCAGCCACGCTACCGATTCCACAGCTCCCTCTGCTCTAATTATGTTTCTTCCTACAACTCACATGAGGCTTTGAGAGGTTCCCACTCTTATGAATCACAGTCAAACTGAAAGTAATACAAATTTTCAGACAAAACAAAGATCAGGCAGACCTAGGAATGGGCTTAACCCAGCTCTCACCAGTGTGGGCCAAATGTTTAAAAGTCTACAGTAAATTTATGTCTGTGTCTGCACAATACTGTGGTCTGGCCTTGGGTGTCCGCACTTTCCTCCTCCAGCCTCTGAGATGAGACACCGCAGGGTCACACTGATCTGGTCCAGTTCCCCATACATGGATGCTCAACAGATCTCATTGTGTACCTGAGCACGTCAGCTCAGGAGATACCACCAGCGGTTTAGCACTGATAAACAGCCGCATTCTATTTCCAACAAGGGTGATAAGGACAGATGTGTGTACAAATGCACCCCAGTCCCTCACCTGTGTCCTCCTATGGACATGCAAGATGCTTAGCCGGTGTAGAACTCAACTCCTTTGAATAAAGTAAAGTTAAATGGCTAAAAAGAGGATCAAAGATGTGTCCTTGGCCTCATGAAAACTGTGCTCTCTACAACTGCACATGCGCACAGTGCAAGCTAGAAACAAGTGTGGACTTTTGATGAACACCCGTGACCAGTGGGCCATGTCATCATCCAGGAGCACCATCAGCTGTCACCCTCCCCTGAACACAGACTTTATAAAGCTGGACCCTGGGAGGCTTTGCTGGGCACCGGGGACCTGCACGCAGCCCCCGCAGCAACACTGTCACTTTTCTTTGCTCCTTGTAGTCTGCAGAAGATTTTAAAATTCTGTTTTTCACCTTTTTTTAAAGTTGACTCAAACTTATTCATTATAAGTTTAATTAACTGCAAAGGTTGTGACCCTGAGTATTGGAATTACTAAGAGTTTTAATTAAAACACATCACTCTTTAAATGTATCTCACGAAATCTGAATAACATGGCAATCTGAAAGCTGTTTTTATCAGCTGGAAAAACAAACTCTTTTTGAATGGTAAAAATGCTGTATTGTTCTCTTTTCTCCTTGAACTTGTATTTTCATTCCACTTCCCCAGAAGTTTCTTACAATGTTTTAATGCTTCATAGAGTTTCCTCAATCCCCTGACTGTACTTGTTTGCAACAAAGTATTAAGTGATTCTTTAAAACTTCCTGCAACCACAAATCTTAAAAGTGTTTGATTTTCTTCTAGTTTGAGCTACCCTTATCAACACACACAATGGATCCAAAGAACATGAACAATGATTTATCAGAATGCTAACACAGTTAACACAGAAAATATCATTCTATGGGACATTTTCTGAAGAGATGGATCGGGCTGGTTTATTCACTCATTCAGTTTAACTCACATATCTACAGATGAGTATTATCCACTTTTATAATAAGGCAGGATCTAGCATAACTACATCTCTTATTTTTCACTTTTAGATGAACACAGACGTAAGAAACCTTGTACGCAGTCAGAGACTTTGTTTACACAAGCTTATGTAAAACAAAGACATCAAACATTTCTTTTGTCTATAATCTTATAACTAGATCAGGTCCTCCTTCAATTTTACAGAAGTCAAGAAGTCAAAACGATGTGATTTGCAAACAGATGTGTTACCTGGTTCTTCTTACGATCGCCTTCATCAGCTCAGACACCATGACTATGTTTTTTGCTAGGGTGGGGTAGGGAAGGAGGTTTTTGTACCACAACACAATACAACCCAGTAGAGCCAGGGTGGTGATATTTGTGCTTGTCTTCATCAAGTAGGAAAAGGGTGACAGCAAATGACAAGTGGAAGAAGGAGATTTGGCAACATCAGTTTTGAGGCAAATTAGATTTAAGAACGGCAGCTGAAGGCAATGGGAACAAGGAATTGATCCCCTAAACCGATTCATGCCTTCCCAGCTGCAGAAGAGGGAAGCAAAGGTCGGGTGCCAGGCATTCTTTGTGCACCCCAAAGGACACTCAGCTTGATTAACACGAGTCTCCTACGATTTGTATGACTGCAGCTGACATCGTGAAAGTAATGGATTTTTTAAAAGGCAGGAATATAATTTTTGTTCAGTGTACCTAAAAAGGGCCTAATAAATCATGGAGTCCTGACAACACAGAAGCCACAGTCAACAAAAGACTGTAAGCTTGGTATTTTTATAACCTCAAAAAAAAAAAAAAAAAAAGCCTGGAAACAGTCCAAATACTTAATAATAGAAAAACTGCTAAATAATTTATACTACAGTCCTATGATGGATGTATATACAATGGTTTAATTTGAAGAACATATGTTGGGTCTAGAAAACATTTCGTATGGTAGTAAGTAAAAAATGCAAGAAAACGTTGTAAATAAGATGTCATATTCATTTGCAAAAGGATGTGTGTATGGAAAAAAGATTTAAGAAAAGTCCGCTAAACTGTGTTCACTGGTTATTTTAAAGGGCTCTTAATTATGGACAGATTTCTTGTTCTATTTTTTTTTTAAATTTTCCATAAAGGGCACGCAGCTCTCTTTCAGTGAGGGGACAATGGTGTAGAGGAAGGTCAAGAAGGCTGGCAAACAGGTTTGCCTCTCAACGGTGCTGTAGAGTTGGCACCAGGAAGATGATGCCCAGCCAAGGCTGCCTGGAGATCTTAAATCCACCCCGTGTGGCGTAGGGTACCATTCTCTCCCACAGGGGGTGCCATTCCGTAGCCTGCTGTGAAACACTAAGTCCCACATACATTCTCTAGCATCACTTCGTAACCAAATTGCTCTCTTTACCGCTGACTTTCATGGCTCGTTCCTATGAACCACTGATTTTACTCACCCGTACACACAGAGCTAATGTGGTCAGGTTGCTATTATGCTACCCTCACAAAATACCATGTTCATAGATGTGAAAGTATCTATGTATCCACTATCAGCTAGCTAGTAAGATGCCGAAAACCGACAGTCATCAGGAACGTGTGCAGGGCAGCTTTCATGTCTGCTGTGTCCAGCAATCTCTCTCTCTTACCTCAGCAAGTGAGGCGGAATCTTGACAATGGTGTCCAGACCACCCAGGGTTTCTGCAAGAGGAAAATTACAAAGTTATGACTAAATATTTAAAGGCTGAGAATCTACATTATACATTAATTTCACTGCTTCTTTTTTGTCCTGGAAACGCCTAAAATCACAAACTAGTCAATTCCTAAGTATTGCTAAGCATATTGTCTTTATTATAAAATCCTTCTCCCTTGATATCCTGAGAGGCTTCCTGGAACTTGCCTCACTGTTGCGGAAGGAAAAAGTTAAAAATCAGGACCTAGTTCTCTGTAGAGACAAAGCACAACAGTTACATTCCTAACCTGAACCAGAATGCCAATTTTGAATATTTATGACTGACCTCTAGATGCTATAATCTTGCAACCAAAATAGAGAAACAGATGTTGTCCCCTTCAAAATACCATTTCAACCCCCTTAAAGCACAGTGCACACTTGTGAAAGACTTTCAAGGTCACACACACCCTGGACATCTCATTACCCTCACCCATGTCCATGACACCATAGATGAAACCCGGCCTACACCACACTGCAGTTAAGGAAGCCCACTGGGAGGCCCATCCCCTAATCTCATTAATCCAATCTGTTTGCAGACTGGTGCCTTTGCTGCCTCCAACTGCAGAGAGGATAAGCAGTTCACTATTTCCCAAACAATCTGACCCATTTTAATTACTCCAACTGGTCTCCAGGTGAGCAGCTCAAATAGCGTTTCTTCCTTTCTTCATTTGTCAGTGTCAGCAAGCTGTTAATTTAGGCTCACTTCCTCAGGAAAGGAGAAACCTCTCCCCCCACACTGCTAAGAGATTGGCTGGAAGGAGAGACGCGCAGTGCATCCCTGAGACTCAGGACTGACCATGAGATAGGAGCTGGGGCAAAACAGTGGATTTCAGAAAGACATTTCATCAGCAAAACAGAAAGATGAGCTCAGCAGTGTCCACGACACTGTGGGACCAGGCCGACACAGGGCAGTGCTGAAGATGTGATGGGATAATGAGAAAGGCGACCAGAGGGGAGGTGCAGGGCAGCACAAAGGCCGCTCAGTCTGCCCTGCCCGGCAGTTAGCACGATGGGCCAGCCAGGGCAGGGCAAGTCCAAGCTGCCTGCCTAGGAGACATAAGCACACTGAGCCACAAATTGGCATGGTGCTCTCACATCAGAGGAGTCCATATCCAGCTCAGGGAGCACAACGATGCCGGCTCCACAGATGGTAAAAGGCAGCCTGCTGTGGCACGTGCTGTCTCACGGGACATGCCTGCTTGGGATGCAGGGACAGGGTAGATCAAGGATTGGCTCTGTGTCACCCTCTCCAAGTTTCATTCCCTCAGGTGCTGGGGATTGAACCCAAGGCCTCATGCATGCCAGCCCAGCTTGCTGATGTCGAAAGGAGATCATTGCTGCCTATTACAGGAGCTAGTAACCTTCAAGGGCCTGACCTTGTCCTTAGACATCAGTTCCAATTTCTGTCTCCCTTCCTTGATTTATATCACTGGGCCCTGGGCTGGAGGTCCAGCAGTAAGGACAGACATGGTTCTGAATTTGTGGAGTGCATATCTGAGCTTCAAACTGTGATTAATGCTGTGAAGGGAATACAGGGAACTAGGCAAGGATGGACCAGGGGACTGCCTGGGGGCTGTGGAGCCAGGTTTCCTTCCGAGAGGGATGACACAGGGCCATGACTGTGTGAGGTAAGTAAAGGGAGGGGGAATTCCAAATATAGAGGGAATAACAAGTTCAAGATACATCAAGACCTAGCTGGGCGTGATGGCAGCCATGGTACCTGCAGTTGGATGGCTGAGGCAAGAACCCCTTGTGCCCAGGAGTTTGAGGGCAGTCTGGGTGACATAGCCAGACTCCTACCTAGGAAGGCAGGAAAGAAGGAAGGAAGGAAGGAAGGATGGAAGGAAAATAAACAGTAAATCAGATCCATCAAGAATCCCAGCCGCCTTCTCTGTCCCCATGCTGCCACTCTGCGTGAGCCGCCATCTTGTTTGCCTCAGACCACCACAGCAACCTCCTTACTGGGTTCCCTCCTTCTGGGCTCAACCCCGGTAGCTTCTGCCTCTTCTTGCAAAGTAGCCTGAAAGACCCAAGACAGGGCTCTTCCTTCCTCTACACCCAATGATTCCAATATTTTAAATAAAAGCCAAGCCCTCAGAGAGCTCACCAAGGACCTTGACCAACTGGCCTTTTGCCCCCCACTTTTATTTGTTCAATTGGCTCCAGCCACCGAGTCTCTAGTCTCCTTGTTGGGGCCACCAGAAGTTTCTCCACCTGACAGGCTCCCTTCTGGTAAGGCTTTCCTCGAGCACCCTGGTTCAGTGGCAGTTCCCTTGGCCCTCCAGGAGCCTCCTATGTCTCTCCACTGGTCTATGTTTTTTTTTTCAGGTTTGACCACTGCCTGTGTTTTTATTTTATTTATCTGGATTACCAGCTGTCATCCCTGCCAGAGTCTGTGATCTCCACGAACAAGACAGATCTTTTTGCTTATTTTGCCCACTCTGGTCCCAGGACTTAGAACAGCACCTGGCACATAGTAGGTGCATAAAAACATTTGCTGAATTAATGAAATAGAGGAAGCACAGCACAGCTATACTGAAAGAAGGTCAGTGTGACAAGGGTGAGAGTAGTACAAGATGGGGGCTGTGAGGCAGGCAGGTGTGGGCTGCACAAGGTTAGGTGGAAGATGGTCAGGGCTTTGGTCCGCATCTAACAGGACGCCACTCCATGCCTTTGTGGGCCATGGCAAGATCAGCCTCAGGATTCCAAGGAGGCACTGCTTGGAGGACGGCATGGAAAGGGCCGAGTGGTCTGGGAAGGAGTAGCTAGGAAGCTGTGCAGAAGTCTAGGAAAGTGACCTTGCCTGGAAGCAGAAGCAGGAGTAGAGAGAGGTGGACAGGCTCAAGTTATAGTCAGGAGGCAGCAGTGAGCAGACTGGGGCAGAGTACAGAAATGGCAGGATGGCTCTGGGCTTCGGGTTTGAGTGGGCAGGCATGGCATCAGCTGGCCATCGGGGGGTTAAATGGTGGGGAGCACACGCTGGCACTTGGCCTTGTTCAGCTACAGCACCTCTGAGCCTCTCCGGGAGAGGTGTTGAAGTGGCAGCAGCACTGGGGTTTGGATGGCAGAGCAAAGCTGTGGACTGCCAATAGAAGCTGGGTGTCATGTCCTCAGAAGCCAAGCTCGAACTGTGGGTGTGGATGTGCTCGGCCCCAGCAGAGACAGAGCAGCTGCAGAGCCAGGCAGGGTGACCTCGGGAGGGAACAGGCATAAGGTTGAGGTCAAGCAGGTACCCGGCTGGGTTCAGGGTCATTAGTGGAGATAAAGCAGATCAGAGTGGGGCAAACCATGGACAATGGTGGTGTGGGCCAAGCCTCACACACTTCTGAAGACTTGTGATGGATGAACACGGTGGTGCAGGCTTGTACTCCCAACAGGATGGGAGGCTGAGGCAGGAGGATTGCAAGTTTAAGACTAGCCTGGGTAATTTAGCAACTCAGGAAGACCTTATCCCAAAATCAGAAAGACAGACTGACTGATGTGGGGGTAGGGAGAGAGGGGGCGAGAGAGAGAGAGAGAGAGACAGAGAGAGAGAAGCAGGCAGGGGATGTAGTTCAGTGTGAAGGTCCTTGGTTCAATTCTCAAACAATAAAACATTATAAAAGTCTGGCTGTGAAGTAACAGAACCATGACCATGACCATGGCTGGAAGGCAGAGCGGGCGGGTCTGGTGGGTCCCGGACAGGTGATCCGCCTTTCCTATTTGTGTTTCTTACCTCTACTTTCATTTTCATTCCCCTTTATTTTCTCAATTCATTGTAAGTACCCCGATACAGTACTAACAGTACTAAAAGTATTTCTAAACGGCCAGCACGGGTCCTTTCAGACGTCACTCTTGCCCGGCCTCCAGCCCCAGTCTACAATCCCCCAGCCCCGTCCTGAAAGACCCCTACTCACTCTTTCCTATTCCCAGTCCAACTGTTTCCTCACTGACAAAAAAGAACTCAGAACCAGAGGAAAAGAAACTCGCAGTCCTTACTGGTTCTCCCATCGCCATTTAAAGAATGCTGATTTTCAGAGGATTACAACAGAGTAAGATGAAAATGTAAAAGTCAAACTGCATGAGGCCAGACGCGGTAGTGGAAATCCCAGTTCCCAGGAGGCAGAGGCAAGACTGGGAGTTTGAGGCTGGCTTGGTTACATAGTGAGACTATCGTAAAACAAACAAAACACATGAAAGAAAAACAGCAAAGAGGAAAATGCTAAAGTTAAAAAACAAATGATAATATACCAAAAAGCAGCATGGCTCTTGGCAAGAGAGAACTTTAAACTGTCTACAGTGTTATCCATGCTGAGATTATGAGCCAGTTTTATTCTCCATACTGTTCTAAAATCATTCAATATTCTAAAATGAACATACAGAACTTTTATGAATAACAAAGATGAATGATATTTGAAATCCAAATAAGTGACTAAAGGGTTTATTTACTTGTGGAACATCCACCTTGTAGACTATAGATGCAGAAGCCACCAAAAAGCACCGCTAACCGTGTCTGCGCTGACAGGGGACACTGCTCTATTGACCAGTACTGTCCTGACTGACCAGTACCCCTCCTGCCTTCTGAAGCAGCACCCACATCTTGCTCTACAGAAGCTAGATTTCAGCTGACTGTGGCTGACGCCTAAACCAGCTGTTCTGTTCCCTGGCTGGAAGATGAGGTCAGGAGTTCTCACATCCCCTATGAGGACAAGAAGAGAACAGGGGATGCTAAGGACCAGGCCCGAGTCCATCTCTTCTGAAATAACTTTTCTCTCTTGAGATCATCTCCTGAGATGACCCATCTCTTTAAAGAGTCTGAATGGCAGATGACCGTCTCTCTTGAGATAGTCTAACTGCAACATGACTTCTCTTTCCCACGATGACGTTAAGTGGGACTCTTTTCTCCCAAGATGTCTAACTGTGGGAAGTGGCATAGGTGGGCAGTGACCTCCCCATTCCCGTGATGATCCATGTCGGAGATGCGGACTCCTGTCTCCCAGGAGGCTCTAAACAGGGGATGACCTTGCTCTTCCCTGTGGGCTAAACAGGAGATGATGGCCCCCTCCTGTGATGATCTGAGTGTGAGACGCCCCCTCTGGCTTTTCTCAGGAGATGCTCTAAGTGTGGTAACCCACAAAGAGAAGATGAGGGCCTCAGAACTGTGTGGAAATTCTAACTCACAATGAACCCCTGGGAGAGTCAATAGGTAAGGCAAAAATCACATTTTGCCTAAGTCAGCTTTAATGGACCTTTTGCAACCAACATATTTCTCAATTATGCTTCCCTGACAGAATGTGCAGGGTACAACCTAAAGTGGGGTTTAAGACAATGAGGGAGGACTTAGAAAGGAGCTGCCAGTTCTCCTCTCCACCTGAGCTGCTCTTTGGGGAGTCTGGAGAGGGAATTCCTGGCAGAAGGCAGCTTGGGAAGAGTGCGGGGCACCGTGTGCTCAAGGATGTGTGGCACCTGACCTCTGCTGAGCTCCTGGGGGGTGACGAGGGGCTCAGGCTAGATTCCAACATGCATTCTAGGGAACGCACACCTCCATCTATGGAGAAGCCATGGGAGTTGAGAAGCGGCAGCAGTTTTACAGTAAAAGCACTGATGGGAGTGGAGGTGTGGTGGAAGGACCTCAGGGAGCCAGCTGTACCCCTTGGCTCTTGCGCAGTCTCCATCAGCAGCCCCTCCCCACAGACTCCTGACAAGCACTCCGTTCACCCTACTACCTCCCTGCTCAGCGCAGGAGAGGCCTCAGGAAGCCTTTGCTAAAAACAAAAGCAAAGAAAGCAAATGAAGGAGAAAGGCGCCCACAGCTTACCCACTCTTCAAGTGAAATCTACGTCAAAGCCCATCAGCTGCTGCTAATTCTCTCTCAAGAACCCCACTCCCTCCATTCTGGTCTTCGACCCATTTTCCTGCTTTAATCATTCCACCAAACATATAAATGTCCTTCCTGCACTTAAGGCGTTCAGTGTCCTGCATCAGACGCTTGCCCCTGCCCTTGCTGATCCCAGAATGACCGCCGGGAAAGGAGTCACATCCACTCTTCCACTCACTCCCAGCTTGACCCAGAAAATCCACCAGCTTTCTGCTCGGGGCTCCCCCTGGGGCTTCAACCGCCTAAACTCAGCACTGCTGTTCAACCTAACCAGATGCTGATTATCAAATTTCACCCTTATTAAAATACTACATGAGTCTCCTCTTTGTTTATCTAAACCTGCTTCACTTGACTCCAAAACAATAACGAATGCTGGGCATGGTACGGTTAGGGCACAGTCAGGCCTGCTTTATTATGTCACCCAGCCATCTGTGACCCTTCATTAGGGGCATTTGGGAATCAGCTCTAAATCACTGCCAATGACAATAACAACACACGATCAGTGCTGTGATTTCAAGGCCTCCCTACACTTAGACACACAGTGCGTTTTTATTAACAGTAAACCAAACCCATCCCCCCAGGTAAACTTCCCAGACAATCTTGTAGACAGGTTGTGAAGCTAGAGACAGATTAACCCCGCCCCGACGTTGCTATGACTGCACACAGATCCAAATTTATGGTAACTCAGACCCCCTAAATATTCAGTGACCTAAAATGCTCTCAGAATTCTACATTTAGCAGAAAGCAGTGATGGCCCTTCTGGGTCTCTCCTGAGGCAGGATCACACAGCAGTGTCAGGAAAAGCACAGGCTGCCTTCTCCCTATTTCCAGGGAAAGGGATTCTGTGTCTCAGTGGAGTGGCCACTGAGGTGCCGCGTACAGGCTGGGGGAGGCCAGGTCCCACAGAACTGCCCTGGCTGCTTCTCATCCTTTCCTTTTCAGAGAGCATCACCGTGGCCCCAGTGTGCTCCGCATGGCTTGCCATCCGCATCCTGACCACTGGATCGCCCAGATTCCCTCCTCACCGAAGCATCAGTCCATTTTCTGTGCGGGGAGCGCTGCAGCCTGACTCTAACGGGAAACACCAATTTGCCACCTTTGGAACTTACTGCAATGCTAACGCAGCTCGCAAATCTACAAACCCACCTGTCTGAGGGGCGAACCACGAGGGAACAGCAGAGGCAACACAGTCCCGCCCTTGTGTTATTTTCCATGCACAATAACCTGGAAAGCGAACCCTTAGCAAGCTGGCCTCGATCAGAAGGGAAAAAAATCAAATTAAATAAGCCCTTCCTTCCTGGTTCCACTTGCCAATGTTTGAGGTCAGCAGTGTTGGTTTAACTTCCCTCTCCCCGCAGGCGCCTCGGAATCAGGATCCTGGATTCGGCTCGGCCTGGGGTCCACATTCTGGGGTGGGGGTGGGGGGCGGAATGGGGCCCGCGGGGCGGAAAAGGCAGCGGTTCCCGCCCAGGTTGGGAGAAGATAAAAGACCAGAGCTGAGGCAGCCGGATGCCCACGCCCTGGCCAAGATTCTGGGGTCCAGCCCCCCGCGCCGAGGAGCTCTCGCAGTGGGGCGACTGCCGCCCCCCGCCGCCCGCAGGTGACCCCGCCGCCCGCGCCCCCGCCGCGCGCCTACCCAGGGCCCAGGTGCAGCTCTCCTTGATGGCTTTGTACTTGCTGCCGGACGCCTCCTTCTGCAGCTTCCTCAGGATCTCTTCCATCTTGACCTTCCAGGGGCCGGCCGCCGGCACGGACACAGCCGGCCAGGGACGCTGGCGACGCCGCTGCCTGCCCCAGCGCCTAGGCGGCCGCCGCGCTCGGCCCCATCGCGCTCCGGCGCCGCGGCTGCTGCATCACGGCCGCCGGTGCCGCGGGCCACGTCAGCGCCCCGCCCGCCGCCCCGCCCGCCCGCAGCCCGGTCAGGTGCGCTCGTCCGCCCGCGCGCCGCGCGACGCCCCGAGGCCTGGGACCCCAGCTCGCCCGGCCGGAGGAGGCGATGGCGGGCCGCGTCGGCCCGGGAGGGGCCCCGCCGCTGTGCTGCCCACTGTTCCGCCACAGCGCGTGGGCCGCTGGGCGCACTTGGGGGGTCCAGCGCGCATCCAGAAAACGCGCGCGTCCCCTAATTGGTGCACGAGCCCCGGGCCAGGCTCGGGACTGGGCTCGCGCTCCAGCACTGACTCCCTTGCGCCCTTGCTCGCAGAGAGCTTACAGTCGCGCAGCACCAGGCACTAGCGTGGCAACCGAGCTAAGTGACCTAGGCGGCCCCAAGGAAACCAGGCCCAGAGAGTCGCATCACTTCCCCAACCAAGAGTTGTTCTCCAAACGCGTCCCGAATCCAGAGCACTTTTAAGCATCTCTCTGCTCCCCTTAGCTACCTCTCCGCTGAATGTCCCTCCCACAAAAGGCGCGCAGGGTCAGGGCGCGGTAACGTGCTGGGCGGAACAAGGGGGTGGCCCCAGAGAGGGGCTCTTGGGCTGGACCACAGACTGCGCGAGCACCTACATTCCAGGCCGGCCTGCAGGAGCGAGGGCTGGGCGTGGCTGCTGGAGGGGATGGGTTGGTGGAGGGGACTGTGATTGGGATTATAAAGTCATTGCAGTTAAAATGAATGGGGTTACGAAGTGCACTAAGAAGGGACTTTAGACTGTGTGTTGAAATAGGGTCTATGTATCCCACGTTGACCTCGAATGTAGGACGCTCCTATTTCTACCTTCTGAGTGCCGGGGTTACATGCCCCTGACCTGCACCTGGCACCTGAGTTTTCTCTGTGGTTGTAGAGGCAGTGAGGAAAGCAGGCCGCAGAGGGGAGCAGGAAGCAGTGAGGCCTTGGAGGGGGTGGGGAGGGAAAAGGTGACAGTGTAACAGATAGAGGGAAGTGGAGCGGAGACTGAGGGCGGTGAGGGGCACGGATGGTAGTTGATGGGATGATTTTCTGGTTGCTTGTTCAGGAAACTGGGAGGACAGTGACTTCATTTTGTAAGTTAAAGAAGCACAATGCATAACCTCAGTTCTGAACGTGGTCAGACTGATATAAAATATGTAGCATGTTTTACTTTGGGGTGGAAACTCAGGATGAGGGTCTCTGGTGGACATGAGAATTTGCAAACCATTAAGTAGAGTTGTTGACACCAGGGATTTGGTTGCTGTGAGATGCCAGGGAGAGGGCTGCGGGACCCCTAACACTCAAATGACAGGCAGGGGACCAAGTATCTATGATGAGCCGGAGAAGGAGCAGCCAAACATCATGTATGCAGGGGGACAGCCAGGAGAAGGGGCGTCTTCAGGCGGTGCCCACCTGTGGCATGCGCTGGCTGGCTGGCTGGCTCCTTAAAGCCCTCTTGGCACAGAGGAGGCAAAACTTTGCAAAGTCCCAGTTCCCAAGGAGCCTCTGACCCATCAACCACGTACTAAAATGAAGTCATTGCTTGCAGAAAGATTTCCAGTGATGAGAAAAAGTCAGAAGCACCGTAGCAGACTAACATGTTGTAGTTCTAGGGACCAAACCCAAGTAGGCAAGCTCTTACACACTGACCTACACCCTTCGCCTGATAATGACTTATGTCAGGCCATACTGTTTACTATTTAGGAATGGAAGGAGACTATGAGATTGGGGGAATGGGGAAGGGATGTAAAAAGAATTAAAATGTGTTGTGTACTAATAAAAATTAAAATTGTAAAAAATCAAGGTCCTTTAGCACCTAGTATATGGGCTTAAAAATTTTGTCAATGTCTACAAAAAATCTATTTTTGAAAAAATATATCCATTGCAACTATACTATGTATTAAAAACATTAATTACAAATGAACTAAAGGGTTAGCTTTTTAAAACAGTTAGATTTAAGAATTAAACCAGGCTGCGGCCCCTCCAGGGGGAGAACCACCAGCATCTCTCTGAATTCCACACCATGTTGGAACTTAGGATGCTGAGAAACCAAGCAACCTGCTCGCCTCCCTGCTAAGCAGTAGTGCGCCTACCAGTGCACGGGCTGAGAATCAAACATCCCATTCCCTACCCCCACCCATTAGCAAATGGGAACCAGAGATCTGAGCATCTCTTGGGAGGTTGACCATATGCAATATAGCAAATAAGGGGGATTTCCTTCTACCATCTCTTTGAAGGTGAATATTTACTACTGTTTTGCTTTATTCTGATTAATGGTACTGCTCTATTCAATATTCTGCTTTGATAAGTTCTACAATGTTCTGTATTTCATTTTATTTTGCTATATGTGAAAGAACAACTATTGTGAAGATAACGAGATATACTGTGCTACCTATTACTGTTATCCCGGTAACCTGCTGTCAAGTTCTGTACCAGTTTGACTACACTGTCTCATTTGGCTTTGTTCTGTCTTGTTCTGTTGTATTTTACTACCTTCAAAATAAAAAAAAAAAGAGAGAATTAAACCATAAAAAGCCTACAAGAAAATATTAAATGAATGCACTTAGGGTGTGAAGATTTTAAACCAGCTAAGCCAGGAACTGGAATAAAAATACTTTGACTATTTGATTTTTAAAAAAATCTTTAAATCAAACTTCCACATAAAATTAAGAAACAGGCAATATATTGAGAGGTGAATTAAATGTAGAAAAAGGATGGCTAACTTTTAAAACCACAATTTACTTTGTTGGGGAGATGTTTGTAATGATGTCAGAGATGAAATGTTAGAATGGCTTTTAAAACTCCTTTTCTAGAGCATTAGAAAACCCCACAGATTCATGTTCTAAAAAGAAAAATAGGAATGATTGGGACATCAAGTCACAGAAAAAGAAATATCATACACCTACAAAACTGTTCAGGTGCCTACCAATCAAAGAACACAAACTTTAAGTGAGATGCTACAAATTTTTATTAATCACATTTACTAAGAGATGTTCAGTGCTATTGCCAGGTGTTAGGAGAGAGCTGGCACTCAGGGCCTGTGGTGACTTGGGTTTGGTGGTTGTGTAGCTTGGTACTGGACTCCTGGGAGAGATGTAGATGTGTGTGCAGCACACAGGTAAAACTCTGGCCCCTCTCTGGGATTATAGAAATGAATACAGATTTTTCCACAAGGCTTTCAATGCTTCTTTCTATAGTAGGAAAAAATCACGAAAAATATTCCACATGTCCAACAACATCAGGGGAATGGGAGAGAACTTGTGTTCTAGAAATCTACTACGAAGCCTTTCAGATGATGTGGGAGACCACTATTGACAGGAGAGGTTCCTATTGTATAACTGAAGTAGAGGAGCAAATTCTAAAACACTGTGTCCTTTTGTACACTACCTGATGCCAGTTTTATTATTTAAAGGTGTGTGTGTGTTCTGTGAAATACACCTAAAATCTTAACAGGGATGCTCTCTGACGAGGCTATAGCTAAGTCTGTTTTCATTAAATATTTTCCCATTTATAAACACAGGAATGCAATTTTTTTTAAACTTAGTGCAAAATGGAACCAAAGCAGGTGGCAATGTGGGCAGCTTCAGGAAGGACATAATCAGTGTGGGAAGGACCTAGTAGGTAAGAGAGGAGAGGGAGGGATCTTGGGGGGCTGCTCCTGGAGAGCCATGCTGAACAAGCCTGGATTGGCTGCAATGGATTAAGAAGAGGCAGGATCATAAGCATAAAAAACCCCCCTCACAAAGGGAAGAAAGGAAATAAGCACATTTTGCATTGTTTCTGCCACTCACAATAGAAAATATGTCTTCCTGTATAATTACTGTATAGTGTATGTACATATACATACATGTATTGCAATGGCAAACAGAAACACTGAAACAACACCGAGATTTGGAGGCAGGGTTTTTTTTGTTTTTGTTTTTGGTATCGGGGATTGAACTCCCAACCTCACACTTGCCAGGCAGGCACTTGTGCCAATAAACTAAATTCCCAACCCAGAGGCAGATTTATTTACCTATGGGCCTTGATTGGAATCATCTCCAGAATATCAGGCTGTGATATCTGGTGGTCGAGGACTTATATGGGACAAGCAAGCAGGAAGTACAGAGGCAGAAGGGCTTGTCAGCTGGGGATTGGTTATACCATGTGCATCACGGTGACCAGCTGTGCATCACAGTGAGCAGTGATTCTAAGAGCAACTGGAACAGGAACTGTTACCCGGGCAGCTAAGAAACTGAAGTGTACTGGCTGGGTGGGGATAGAGAGGGTAGCATTTTCTGTTACCGAATAGGTAGTTTAGAAGCCTGAAACAAAATTTTTATGTATAAAACAATTGTTACTGTTAAGGGTAATAGTTAAATATGACCTTACTTTTTAAATTAGGTACAACTAATTGTTCCTAAATTCATTCCAGGCTGAGGGCACAGGAATGATACTACACGCAGGACCAGGATGGTTTGCATGTTAGTGTCTGTTTCTTCCCATATTTTTAGTTGTGTTGACTAAAAATTTTAACTTACACAAGTAGCTGGTAATACTATTAATAACAATAAACTCTGCCACCAGTGAGAATTCTTCTTTAATCTTAATCCAAAACAGTGGCAAATGTATAATGACCCTTCAGTGTATCCATGTAAAATGTCAAGTATTAGTTTTCTTCTTTGGACACCAACTAACTCAAATATCGGTTCAAGATTTTGAAAAACAAATGAACCTTTAATCAAAATACTTTTCCTTAGTATTCCAAATTAGACTTTTTTCTAGAAATGATTAAAGCTTGAAATTAACTTGTAATATAATTAATATGTTTGATTTTATTCCATTCAAAATAACTTCATGATAATGTTCTCTTCATGTGTTGCAAAATGCTGCGGATATTTAGTAACCTTGTTAAATATTTAAAATATATTTTGTAACTGTTGCATATATTAAGTATATTGAAGCTATTTTCCCCCTGTAAATACAAATTTAGTTACTTAATAATGTCAAAAAATGAGTTT